TCAGGGTTAATGCCTCCAATTATTAAGTGACTGGAAAAATGGGACAGCGGGAACACACAGCAGGGGAGCACTTTTTTAGATGTAGAAAGCAAAGATATTTTTTGTAGATTATAGAATGGTTTCATTTTTCATGGCTGTAACACACTTGAGCAATAGTTGATTATGATTACTAGAACAATATGGTCTCCAGAACTAAAAACAGTGAAAGGAGAGCAGCACATATTTTCAAAGAGCCAGTCTTTAGTCTCTCTCTCCAATTATAAGTGTAAAGTTTGATGTAAGAAAAAAATGCAAAATAGAAAAGATTCGCCAAAAGAACCTTGATGACCTTTCCTATCAATGGTTTTGACATTTTGTGTGTTTTGCTTGACTGAGTTTCTTCGGGGGAAAGAAGGAGCACATTTTCGCTAATTATTGTACTGCATCTGCAACTTTAAAAAACGCCCATTTTCACTTAAAATGGTAACAAAAAAGCGTTTTTCCAAAGATTCTAAAAAGTGTGAGCATATTTATAAAAGTAAGGCAAAATCATTCCACAGAATATTAATTACTCTTAAAGAAAGGGATTGCTTTTAGATTCAAAGATCACCTTCTGTTTCTTTCTTGGAGAGGGAAGTTTCCAACCCAAACGCACATTTGCCTCTCCAGCATCTGCTGAATTTGGAAGAGGTTTCCAGACTGGGTTGAGGAGTGGTCATTATGGCTAAGCTGCAGCTATACTTCTGAAAGAGAATGAATGGATCCAGTCCAGTCCCTTGGCGAGGCCCTGGCTTCAAAATCCAGCAGCACAATGAATGTGGCTTCGCAGCCAGCTGGTATCAGACTTGGGCAGGGAGAGTGTCAAAATATTAGTGACTTTTTTACATTTGTCAAAGCCGAGGCCAATACAGAAAGTGAAGACAGCTTGCAAATGTGGATTGTGCATCAAAGGGTGTGTGTGTGTGTGTGTGTGTGTGTGTGTGTGTGTGTGTTTCAGTCCTGCCCACCGGATGTCAACATTTACTTGCTTTCTGAATATATCTAGAACAAATGCAGAGTGAAATATCTTTTACTTTGAGTATGAAAACTGCTACAGATTCATCACCAGCGCATCCACCACTAATCTATTATGTAGGGCAACTTACTGGACAGGAATGAAGGGGCCGTCAGCATTTCCACGCCATCCCTCCTTTTCTTTCCACAGTCTGCCACGCATCTGTTTACTGGGTCGTTCCTGAACCTGGCAGGCAGGGTCTCCGTGGGAGAATAAATATATTTATACAAAATGTTTGAGAAAGGCTGCCCACATTGAGTTAGAAAAATAAGCATATGCTAGTGCTGTCTGGCACTCACTTTGCGATTTCTGTATAGCTCCAAAAGGGAAAAAATTTACAACAGAACATTTTTTATTTTATTTCTAAAGGAAACATTGCTGGCAGCCAATGTACAATATGGGCTTGATGGAGATTTTTTCCTCCTCTTTATCTTTATCTTTGCCCTTTTCAAGGAAAACTACGTAGGAAAACAAATGTACTGCCTCCAGAATACGTCGCATCAATTATGAGCTCATGTCGCTCACTGGAGCGTCTCCTTGCCCTCTTTCCTTTCCCTGGTGCTCCCTTGCGCCTGGCTCTGAGCTCTGCACACGGTGCGGTGCGGCAGAGCCGCCCAGAAGCCTCCGCCTGAGCGTATATCCCTCGCCTGGCCGGTTTCCTCCCTGGCAAGCACTAAGCACCCAGGGCGGAATACGCCCTGCGCCTGCGCCTGCTGCTTGCTTCGTGGATGTTTGTCGCTCCTCTCTCTGCTGCACTGAGCGAATGGGGAAGACGCGGCACCAATAATGATGGGGACAAATAACAAGTAACATTTGTACAACCTCTGCAGCTCACTAGGTCGAGCCAGCTTCGACCTAACTGCCAATCCTTATTGCAATAATTATTCTCGTTTTGCTGATTGGAAACTGAGGGTTAAGTAACTAGCCCTGAGACAAAGCATTTTGAGTGACTAACCAGAAATCCAGGGCACTGAAGATGTTTGACGATCAGACTTTTTCTGCGCCCGGGGCTGCTGAAAAATGGCAAAGGCCGAGAACTTGTGCGGGCCTTGTATGCTTCTGGAAAAGGCCCTGGGTCCGTCCCACAGACCGCACAGAAGATTGGTGGGGGCGGCCCTGCTCACCTGGGCCAGGGTGTGGGAGGACGCCCGGGCCTGCTCTGTCTCTCTGCAGAGTCTGGGCAGTGCCCTGGCTTGATGGGTTCTGACTCCTGACCTCACTATCCTCCCAGTTTGTACCTGGGTCTCGCCGAGCCGTGGGGTCAGGACCCCAGCCTCGCCTGAGCAAGGCCTCCTGGGAGGTGGCCGCAGGACGAGCAGGGGTGGATGCTCACCCACCCTGCCTTCTCCTCCGCAGCTTTCTGGATTCTGCCCTGCAAAAAAGATCCTCTTTCTTGCCGAGTTTAAGGTCAAAGCACTCTCATACAGCCATGGTCTCCTTTTCTTAATATTTTGGGAATAAAGTGTCTCCTTACTCAAGTCCAGCTTTGTTTTCTATTTGAATGTTAGTAATAATATTAATGGTTGCTAACATATGTGTAGTTCTGAGAATTAATAAGATTTTCACAAGAATCATAACCTCTATTTGTACAGTGCTAAATGGCTATGTTTTTAAACATGTTTTCCCATTAATAATCTTTTCAAAGTGAGTCTTCATTATCTGTAAGACAATTATTACCCCATTTTAAAAACAAAGCCACTGAGAAAGAGAAATGAAGTGACTTATCTGAAATCACAGAGCCTGGTGAGAAGCAGTAAGGAGGGTGGCCAGGCAGAGACACGACTGTGCATGGTCCCGCGGCTGGCTCCCTCCTCCCTTCCTCCTTCTCCCTGAATGAAGGGACAGAAGCTTTAAGGAATGTTCATTTAAAAGGAAAGACTCCAATTCTGAGAAATTGAGCAGGCTCTAGAACCCTTTATGCTCCTGGATAAATCAGTTCATCAGATGGATTTAGATTTCTCAGCAACACCTAACAAAAGAATACCAGGGAAAGGTCAGTTTGCAGGAGTAGTGAGTGAGCTACTGGCAGGGACCAGGCAGGGAAAGACCCCAGGACATCCCAGCGCTGGGGACAGACACCTTTGGGAGAGAGGAGGGGAGACTGCAGGAGACACAGACTCTGCCAAGGGGTGTCAGCAACCCTGACAGCCTTGCACAACAGGGCCTAGCAAACAATACAGTTACCTTTTTAAATTCCCATTTGCTCCTTTACAAAGCAGCTATGGTTTGAGGAGAAAAGCACTGTACATAACATCCCACAGTTTTGATCTTCAGTCCCAGCTCTTCTACATCCAGAGGCCTGAGCCTCAATTTCCCCAGTTTGAATGAGGAGACAGTGAGATCCAGTCAGACGGCAGCTGTGGCTCAGTGAGTTGTTTCACTGGCTGTGCAAGATCAGAAGCCACATATGCCCAGCATGAAGACGAGGTCTGGACCCCAGCTACGGCTCTGGGAAGTGCCAGTTCCACCCCTGGTTTATAGACGAGGAAACAGCAGAGCAGAGAATGAAAATCCCCAGTCAGATTCCTTTTTTCTACATACTGTGTGGGTGTGTGTGTGTGTGTGTGTGTGTGTGTGTGTGTGTTCATCTGCTCCTTTCCCCGGGATTGTAGGCCCTTTGAAGAAGCAGTGTGCAGGCTGGGTGGAGCTCGTGAGCACAGAATAGAGAGGAGCTCCCAGAACCGGGCAGTGTCACACCCTCCTGGAGCAGAGTAGGAAGCTCGACAGGCACATTACAGATTTGAACGACCAGGGCGATGACTCTTCCCACTCTCAAGCCAGCAGCGCTCCCCAAGTCCAGACTGCCCGCCCCGCTGGGACCAGACTTGAGTCACACGAGATTAATTTCATTCGGCCGTCAGGCAGGACTGCTCACTCGGCGATTTTTAAATGCAAATCCAATTGTGGGTTGCTCACAAAGTAATTTTGCCTTATTTTCTTCTCTTTTTTGAAAGAATTGACGGGGATGCAATTCCAAAGGATAATGACCACAACCAGTTATATTAAAATGTCAGATATAAAGTAGAAGTAATTATCCACCCTTCAAGAATATCTTGATATATGGAGCCCCAAACCCATTATATGGTCTATTCATCAACATTTATTCAATACTTACTATGTGCACACTGTTGTATAAATGCATGGGGCACTGTCTAGGAAGGCGAAGACCAGCTTTGCTCTTAAGTAGTGTGGAAACTACTAAAGCAGATTGTTTGTGACCAGAGAACAGAGTGTGGGAACCAACTCACATAGTCCCCGTGAAGACTGGGGAGAATAGGGAGACTTAGAATGAAGAAGAAAAGACTAAGGAGCAAAGTAATAGTTACTCATTTACAGTACTAAGCAGCAACAATGCAGGACCCATAGCCCAGGCAACTGAGGTATTCAGGTGCACCTTGTATTGCACGGCAGAAAACCAATGAAATGAATAAACATGACTCCGCAGAGTGTTAGCCCTTTGCAGGGAATAAAGTAAGATGGCTTAATAAAGATTATATGACGTGTTAGAAAAGTTTCTTTAAGTAGTGCAGTCTGTATGAGCTGAATCCTGCATAACACAAAGCACACAGCATGAAGAAATGTCTAACCTCAAGTTGGGCTGGGGTGTAGCTCAGTGGTGCCACTGCCTGCCTCATAAGTGCAAGGTCCTGAGTTCGATCCCCAGGAAGGAAGGAAGGAAGGAAGGAAGAGCAAGTTGGGAAATAAACAAATTTAATTTTTAAGTAAAGAAAGAAGACATATGAGACAGGATGAATTACCAAGTGGAAAATGAGGTGGCTGGACCCACAGACATTAGCAATGGCCAGAAGACGTGAAGTTTACAGGACACAGTGAGACTCTACTTATAGTAGACCAGTTGGGTTGTGGGACAGAATCAAGATAGACTTCAGACTCTCTGATGGGTAAGACATGAGGGACAAAGGGAGGAAGAATCATGCAAACATTCTAGAACTCAAGCTTAATTGCACGACATGACCCCAGTAGGGAACCAAATTTTGTGAGTGAGTTCAGTAGGAAACTTTCTGTTGGGGCAGGAGGAACTAGAGAGGCTAAATGGAACTACCGGAAAAAATATGCAGCTCAGAGAAAGGGCAGGGTCAACTTTTTGACACAGATGTGTATAAAGCTAGGGAGATAACACTGTAAATATATTCAAATGCTTGCAAGAAGAGGAAATGAGTATCTGTAGTTGTTCGGAACAATGAAATGCAGTCACTGGCTTCTGGATAAAGCATCCGGGAAATAAAGTCATCCTGGTCTCATTCCAAGCACTTTTGGCTCAAAAGGTCTGGGGTTTCTAGCCATGTTCATTAAGAGGTGTGTAGATGGGTCTTTGTTTTTGTTTTTGCTTGTTTGTTTGTTTGTTTTTATCTCCCAGGTGATTCTGAAGTGGAGAATTACTGTCTTTTCAGGGCAGATTCAGGACAAGTGAATACAGTTAATATTCTCTGGTGTTCCAGTGAGGATTCGAGGAACTGGTTTAGAATGCTGTGTAAATAACAAAGTTTTGAACAAAAAAATACTTTGGGTATCACTTCTTTGTGTTGTTTCTCCAGCTTACAACACTGCTGTGGCCACTACTCTGCAGTGTACCACGCTGTATACGTGGCTGTTCTGTGAGACCCTTTAATCTCCTGTATACTTTTTCTGTGACTGACATGAAAGGGTTATGAAGGAGTCTTCACACAAATACAATGCAATTTTTCCAAAGGGTCAGAGGGAAATATTTTAGGTTTTGAGAGATACGAGGTGTCTGACACAACTACTCAACTCTGTCCTTTTAGTAGGAAAAAAGAGCCATAAACTACAAACAAAAAATGAGCACAGCTGTGTCCCAGTAAATCTTTGTTTAAAAATCAGTCATGGGACAAGATTTGGCCTATGGATCACCACTTCCCCAGCCCTGATTTAATGAGTGGCAACAGGTGCGGAGAAGGCGTCTCATGGTTCCCCCTGCGCAGATGATCTCTAGAGCCCAGATTTATCTGAAGTCCTCTTCCGTGTTCTTGATAAGCATTCTTGGTAAGTTCTTGATCATTTTATAAGCTTTTTACAGCACAAAATAGCAAGGGGGTTAGACACACAACATCAAATTGAGGGAAAAGTTGCATTATTTCTCTTTGAGGTGTTCTTGTTGAATATTATGGACTGGAGGTCAGCACTGTGATAGGAGGAAAATGTGAACCTGGAAGGGACACGTTCTGCTGCTCCTTAATTCGAGGGCTGCCAAGTCGTTTGGTTCTCCATTTTCTGTAAGGTGGGGATGACAGCAGAACTTTCTTTATTCGCTTATTATAAGGACCGAGTGATACAAAAACTGAACACAGAGCAAATGCTCTATAGTCATAATTGTCCACAGACACGGTAATAAAAGCTACTGGTCAGTACATGAACACCCACGCACACAGCCATGTGTAAGCGGGGAGCTCCTAGTCATACAGGTCGCTCGAGTGGAGATGAAACTCTCACCGGCCACAGAAGGAGCAAGTGGGACCGGGCACTTTCTGAGTTTCTGATTTTACACTTGCACACCAGTGTGGAGTCAGGGTGCTTGCATGCTGCTCAGTACTTCGGTGCCAGGCCCCCGAGGTCTCACTCACATCCTGTGAGAGTGCAGCCCAGTGCTGGGCTCTGCAGTCGCACCGTAGCGACCCTGCACTTCCCGCTCCGCATTGCACCCTAACACTGGGCTTCTGCTTCAGCTCTCATTAATTGCTGCACCCTAAAAGGATTAAATTAGGCAATTTCCATATGAAGCCGATGGTGCACAGCACACGTTCCTTCCCTGCCCATGTTCTGTTTCATCCTGAACATCTCTGTACACTCCCGAGCCATCCAAACACGACTTCCACTGTCAGCCCCCCATTTTGCTTGTCTGGAGCACAATAGTTTCTCTCAAGGACTCGCTGACACTGCCCTGATGTCGGAAACGTCTGATGTGGCAGACAAAACGCTCATGTGCGGCATCTGATCGGAAGGAAATGTCAGAGCCGCATGCCTTTCTAGGGACCCCCCAGCACTCACCTTGGAGCTGCATCTCCCTCCTTCCTATTGCCTTCCCAGGCAGAGACTCCTGCGGCAGACCAGGCCCATCCATGGAGAACAAGGCCTCAGACTGGCTTGAAAGCCTCAGAAAGATGAATGTCATTGCCTTGCGGTTAGCAAACAGGCTAATGTGACTTGACAAATGATGCTGATCTGGAAAGGGTCAGTAACCACTGCAACTGCAGAGGAGGGGGAGCGCCCGGGAGCTGGAGAGAACTGCATATCGGAGCAGTTTGTCAGGCCAGTGTATGGCCCGCTGTGTGTCAGGAGTGGGCAGGGGAGAAGCAGGGCCAGCGGTGAAGCCACACCCGACGGAAGGCTACAGGCAGGGGCCTGGTGGTGCTGGCCAGGCAGTCAGGGAGTGGAGTTAACCACACTTGGAGCCTCCACTCCTTCTCCATGCAGGCAAAGCGAATTAGATGCAGACTCCCTATCACAGAACAGAGGCAATGGGACCCTCCCAGGGCTGAGATGAGTCCTCACCCATGGTCTGCAGCATCCCAGAGCTACGGCCCCACCTCCTTGTCCCGCAGTCCTGAGGACCAGCCTCTGTCTCTGTAACATTCACCTCCTTTTTCACTAGAGGCTAAATTTATTTTGTCTGGTTTGTCCAGTGTTTTGAAAGACAGGACCCGTGAGGACATCTGTATCCCCTATACTCCGCACCAGGCCTGTGCTGGCCCACTTTCCACTGCTGCCCACACACGGGGTCATGCACAGCACCAGCCAAGCTGGCTCCTGGTCCTGGAGGCTATGACTGCAGAGCATGGCTCCGGGCTGTGTCTTCCCATGGTGGGGGGTGGGAGAGCCCTGGACTGGAGCAGGATGCCCCCTTCCTCGACAGCTCAGTGCTGCAGCAACTGCTGTGAGCCACTGTCCAGGACAGGCTCTCCTCCTGAAGTCTGGCCTCCCCCTTCTACGAGGGCTGGAATCTCCAGCTCTGGAGTGGTGAGGCACATGTTCAAACTGCAGTGCTGCTCCCTCTTCCTCGCAGCCACACTGAGGCCCTCTGTTCACCCAAATGCTCACCTCCCCTTTCTCTTTGGCTTTTCTCCGACGTTGCCACACGGATGAAAAGGCTTGGCCCCAACCAGAGTCCCTGGCTGGAGCCGGCCCCGGGCAGATCCTTGCTATGTTCAGAAGAATGGGGATTGTGGCATTCTTGGGGAGCTCCTTTTGCATCCCCAAATCTGCAGTGGTGACAGAGTAACCCTGCTGATCTCTTGGCCAACAGTTTCCTCACCTCGATTTATGGCTGTTGGATGTTGTGAAGGAGCCTGGTGAGCCACAGTGAGCAGCCCAGCACCACTGTCCTGAGACAAGGGAGTCTGGGGAGAGTTCTGGGCCGCTTCTTACTTTATAGCTGGTAGACCACGCTATGCCCTTCCAGGGCCACGGAGAAATAATATATGTAGAGCACATCGTAAAAGTCCGGTTATATAATTGATGCATAATAAATGTTAGCTGCTGCCATTATGAACGTTAAATTCATAGCTTCTTTACCTTGGCCTTTTCATTATATTTTACTTCATTTCTCTTTCTTTCAGTGGAGGGAAGGTGCATAATAAATGGAAAGGATGCCCTTGCTCTTGTGAGACTGATATATATTTCTGAAGAGTCTAACAAAAATCTAACAGCTCCGGACTACACATGCTTTTAACAACTGAACCAAAGCCAGATTCCTTGTTTTAAATATCTTCGTGCCAGTTGCTAAAAGAACATCTTGAGACCAAAGGAAAGTTAAAAGGGAGTATGATTGGCCTTTGCTCATTAATTCAATCAACAATGTACGTGGAACTCACCTATAAAGTGCAGTGGCTCTGAACAAGGAAGTCCTGTCCGAATGTCAGTTCTGCTGCCCTCTTACATGCGGCCGTGAACTTCCCGGATTTCTCCAAGTCTGTTTCATTATCTTCAAAATGGGAATAGCTCTGTCTTAAAGACAAGAGATAGAGGCTATGTTATAGGAATTAAAATGATCAAAGAACATAGTGCTTCTAAGTAGGACAGAGCTAAGAATTAGAATTTTTAGCATGTGCCCATCATGTGAACATCCCATCACCCGAAATGAATTAATTGCTGGAATAAATTGGTTCAAATGTCTACCATCTTGAAAATTTTAATTTTCACCATTGAGCACCTAGCAGCAAATTCCCCTCCACTCCCTGTACAGGGTCACACAAACTAAAGAATGCCTGGCTAGCTTAGGGGCAGAACAAGCGGACTAGGCTGGGTTGCACGACCATAGGAGACTCCCAACCGTGACCCCTCTAGGGGAGTGAGTGAAAGCTGTGCTGTCCTCCACAGCTGAGTCTTGTCTACTTTCTTGGGTGCTGACTCTCACTGAGTGAGTCTCCAAAGTGAATATTGCTGTTTCTGTTTTTATTGACAAGGCACCCAGAGATGAGCCTATTTTTCCAATGTTTTCCAATTGTTATGTAGCAGGACTGAGCTCTCATATCATTTCATCTTTAGAAAAAGACAGATCCTTTGCAAGTGGGAAGGGAACCAAGAGACAGACAGAGAGGTGAAGGGGAAGGGGACCTAAGAGAGTGAAGATGTGTTTTATCGACACACCAGCTCCACGCCACGAACGTGGGCACTCATAAAAACTTAAAAAATAAATATCTGCACAGCAGCTGCTCTGAGTCAGATCTGTCCTCGGTGCTGGTTTGCCACAATGGACAAGAAGTTCCTAACACGGGGCTTTCTGTGTCAGACCTAAGCCCAGACCTGACCTCTTCCAAATTTCCATGTTTCAGCAACCCTGGTGCACCCTGGAGACATGAGCGGACCGGTTCCGGAGTTCGGATGTTCTGGGGATCAGCATTCTCATTCCCTTCATGTTTTAATCAGAACGATCGCTTACATTAAAATACAGCTTAGTCACGCATATGATTCTTTCTCCCCCAACGTTTTTTCCATGAGGATGTCAGTTTTGCAAACTGGCTTGATTTACACAGATATTTCATCCAGAAATAAATTGAATTAACAATTTAAGATGCAGAACTGGGCGGGCTGGCATGGTGCTAATGGCTCCATTTCCCTGATTAAGAAGAGGACGTTCTCCAAGCGCTTGCTTCAGCTTGGGACTCGGGAGGCAGATTCTGAACAGCGCCGGGTCTGGGAGGGGACGCCCACGCCAGGGCCTCAGACAGATGGTCCTCAGAGTGAAGCTGGGCACACTTCCGGCCTGAGCCGCCGCCTTCTCTGTGCCCGCAGAATCAGCACGCCGCTCTCCTCGCTCAGGGCCACAGGTCGGCCCTGGTTCCTGCAGCCCCACCCCGCTCCTCCCACCCCCCAGCAGCTGCTGGCTCCAGTCAGGGCCCCGCGGAGCTGTCACCCTGGCCATCTCCTTGAAGGCAGGGAAGGCCACCCCTCCTCCTCTCAGTCTCAGCGCGTCTGAGTCCGGGCGGCTTTGGAGCCCTGCTCTTCCCACCATTCCTGACCGTCCGGTGGCAGGGAACTGGGGCAGCCAATGGGGTCTGCAGTAGCTCAGAGCGTGGCCATCTGGACCTGATTAGCTCTGCCATGCGGGTGTGGAGCCAACTGCTCGTCCTCTAGTACGCGTTTCTCTGACTTTTATTTTTTCACAAAGCTGAGGACATAAAAAGCAAGGGAACTAATATGGAATAAAATGTGTAATTCAAACTCCGACTACCCTTCCTAACAATCAGTATGGTGTCAGCTACTGTGACCTGCTAATGCTCCCGCTTCCTGCTCTAAAGAATGCGGGATCCCCTTCCAATCTCGAAGGGCAGGGTGGGATGGAGACAGATCAGCTGAAATCCTCCTCAGAGACTGCATAGACGAGGGTGGGAATGAGCACAAGTACTGTCCTGGTCCAGGAACCACCCAGTAATTCTAAACTGTCCCTGTGCCAAGGCCAGGTGAATATTGCTCTTAAAAATCTCTGAGCACAGAACACCCTGGCCAATGTTAGAAGATGCAGAACTTTGTACAGAGGCCAAAATGGTTAAGAAGACAGATGAAAAAGCAACAGCCCATAGGCCTCTTCACAGATCTTAAAACTTGCATTCTAGTCAGCATCCTGTGGCTGTGGGATTTCTACCACGGTTTTATGGGTGGTGCAGAAGGCCACCAGCCACCCCTCAAAGGCTGGCCATCAATTTCCATACACACTGCCGAGGACCTGCCCCTGCATGTGCTGCAGGCGGAAAGGGGCACTTGAGGCTGGAAGGCAAAGGTGCAGTGGTCAGTGATGACTTCTCTCTGCCAGCAAACTGGTTCCAAGGTGAGAACAGCCATGCACCCTGAGAGATAAGGAAGGAGCCCCATGGAATTGGAGAGAGATGATTTCTAACCAGACAGGACATGCAGACAGACCCAAGAATGTTTCCTTTACAATGTATGGATAGATTGCTATATGATATTTTGTTTATCTGCTTATACTTTTAAAAGCAAAAATTATTTTAAAAGGGAAAGAAAAACATTTCAAATTCCCATATATAAAACTGATAGAAGCAATTTATTTCACTTAACATTATGGTCTCAAGGTGCATCCATTTCCTACAAATGACTCAGGTTTATCCCTCTTTATGACAGAGTAGTAGCCCACTGTGTGTAACACCACAAGTCTTTATCCATGTGCCTGCTGATGACATACAGGCCCCACAAGATGTAGCTATTACGAGCTGAGCTTTGATAAACACGTGTGCGTAGATCACTGTAATATGATGTCTTTAACTCGGGGAGACACCTAGAAGGGTAACACCTAGATCAAATGTAGTTTCTGGTTTCAGTTTTCGAGGAAGCTGCATGTCGATTTTGATAGTGGATGCACTAGTTTACAATCCTAGCAACAGTGCAGAAGTTTCCTCCCCACACCCCATTCTCAGCAGCATTTATTATGATTTGATTTCTTGCTGGTATCTACAAGCATACACTAACAAAAGCTAAGAAAAGCAGAGGAAGGTAGAGTTTAAAAGCAGGTGGCAGACCAGACTCCCCCAGCTACTCCCACACTCCCCCAGAGTGCACCAGGCCAGGCCCAGACAGCAGGGATCTCCTTCCTGGAGACTGGGCGTCCAGGCCAAGGGGCACAGGGTGTGGTGCGTTTCTGGTGTGGTTGGCTCCTTGGCCGGCAGGCAGCAGCACTGTGTCCACATGGCCACTCCTCCTCAGCACACCTTCCTGCGGTCTCTGCTTGGCATCTCTGAACCCACTGGGCTGGGGCCTCACCCTTACCCCTCCTCCACTCAGTGCCCTCCCTGACCAACCTGTCTCCAGACAGAGCCACCCTGCAGGTCAGGGCTCAGTGCAGCATCAACACGGGCTCTCCTCCCTCTCACAGTCTGTACAGCATCTTCCAGAACCCAAGACACAGGGAGACGAAGGCAAAAGTTACTGCTCCTCATCACTAAGACACTGTTCCAGATCATCTTGTCACACCCAGAGTTTATTGTTGCTTCTTATTTCCTTTTTCTTGCTAGGTTTCTGTCAGAAGTGGAGAACAAGTGACTTCTCTGGTGAGACTGGGTCTATGGAGATTGTTCATTCAGCACAAGGTGTCCCTTCCAGGGTGCTTTCTCCACATCTGGACAGACAGGCCATGTACACATGGCTTTCTGGACTTTCTGCTAAGGGCTTTTCAATCTGCTTGCCAGCAAATGGCTGTGTACATAAAGATGCCAAGAAGGTTCTACTGCAACTCCTGTGCAGATTGTCAGGTAAAACCTATTGATCAGCTATCTACTGAAATTAGGCGCTGAACAAAAGATGCTGAATCTTTATAAAATTTTTTTCGGGGTGTGGGATACCAGGATTGAATCCAAGGCCTTCACACTGAGCTACATCCTCTATGCCCCTCCTTTGAGACAGTCTTGCTGAATCATTACGTTGGTGGACTAGGCTACAACTTGCATTCTTCCCGCCTCGGCCTCCCAGAGTCTGTGCACCTCTAATTTCCTCAATTAAAATGGCTTTTTAAAATTCAGTGCACGTATGTTCACAAGAATCTCCTCACGCTCACACTCACACACACTGCTGGAGTAAGGCTGTGTCCGCCATGTCTAGGAGCAAAGTGGCTACTGAGGAAAGAGCTTCCTGAGGAGATATCATAGACACAGGGACCCTGCCGTTGCAGTCACAGCTTTAGAGCTGTGCCACTGAGGACCCAAGGGTGCTGACAGGATGGGCCTGTGTCTAGGCTCTGCGTGGGGATGGCAACTCTGGTGCTCAGGAAGAGCCAGCAGCCACAGCGTGGGTGAAAAGGCAAGCTGACACAATGGGGCTGGCTGGATTCCAGTTCCCAGTGCAGCTTAGAGTGAGAGAGTGTGTCAAACAGCTTGAAGAATGCTAGTGACCCATTCCAAATCCAGACTCATCTCTTTTATCCATTACTTCTTGGTTGTTCATGTCTGTTTTACATGTGGCTCTTGGAAAATTTCATTCATCTTTGGCTTGTTTCTGATGATGATGATCGCCATCATCACCTTCATCTCTGAAAACAGTTTAGTTTATTTACATTTACCATCATAGTTATTTATTTCCACCAGTTACTATGACGTTATTGTGTACTTTCTCTTTGTCCTAATTTTTCTTCTCTATTTTTATATTACTTTTCTGCTTTCTTTCTACTCTCAATCACATTCCACTTCCTTAAAACCTTGATATGTGTACTTTATCAACACTCTAGTTTCATCAGTAACTTTTTGCTGTTTCTTATCTATATTCACCCAAAGTATATATGATATTGTTGTTATATGTTTTATCTTTGTATTGTTTCAGCACTACTAAAATATTCTTTTTGCACACAGTCAGTATTTATTCATTTTGTTATCAATTTGTGTTTGTCATTCTGCTTTACATCTCAAGCATTTGATCTAACTTTTTTTTTTTTTTTTTTAAGTACCAGGGAGTGAACTCAGGACCTTGCCCTTGCAAGGCAGATAGTGGAACCACTGAGCTAAATCCAAGCCCTTGATCTAAATTTTGTTACCTTGAA